ACCCCTAGTATAACTTAAAACTCATACATGTCCACCTTAACATCTCTTAGGATTACTTAGGGCTCAACATTTTACAATCCAACCCTAGGATTAATTCTAACATAATCACATTCCAATACCCCGACTAGTATCTTAATACTAGTCGGATAAATTCTAACAAACCAAGTTTCAAATCCATAGTCATATAGACAAATCCCAAATTGATTTTCCATCAAAATCTAGTTTATATCAATATACAAAATATCACTTTTAATTACTATATATTCTTATATGAATAAAAAGTATATTTCAACATATGGTTTATAGTTAATTCCATTATGAAGTCATCATACTTATGTCACATAATCATACACAATTTATTCTTAAATTTGTATGTCATGCTCCTTTCTTAATAGACAATACTCCTTCATTCTTAGGCATTATTAATCACTAATAATCCATAAAAACACATTTAATTACCTTATGTAATCTCATGAAATTAACTCACTAATTACAAACAATATAGTAAGCCATCCTCACCTTATGAAGTAGAGCCGTCAAAATGGGCCGAAACCCGCGGGCTGACCCATTTAAACCCATTTATTGGTGGGTTAGAGTTAAGAATTCCTGACCCATTTAGTTCGCGGGGTTCACGGATTGCTGGTTTAAGTGGGTTGGCCCACTGGGTTACGGGTTGGCCCGCGGGCCAAAATACAAAAATATAGTTTTGAATTTTATTATCTAAAATATTGTTCTTTTACTACCAATATTATTATAATTACAATTACAAAAGTATTATTCTTTTATTTCTATTATAAATATTTAAATAAAATGTTGAAACATATATTTTTTGTGAAGTTCGATACAATATTTAACAATTAGTAGTCATTATTTGCAAATAATTAATCAAAAGTTTTATGTAAATCTTTATTTTTATACAATGCGTATTTTTGTCGCATAGCCTCTTATAGTTTTCAAATTCTCGAATAACTAGTATTTGATATTTGATATTTTTAATTAAACTAAACAAGTATTGAATTTTTGTATTTTGATTTCTTATATTTCCTTTGTTACTACTTGTTAATATAAATATATACTTCTAGGTAATAATTTTTTTAAAAAATTCCTTATATGTTTTTTTACATTGGCCCGCGGGCCAACCCGTTTAACCCACGAGATAGGTGGGTTAAGTTAGGGTTGTAGAAATCCTGGCCCGTCATTAAACGGGTTGGCCCGACCCAACCCACATAAAGCATAACCCATTACGGGTTGGGTCGAGTTGGGTCGGGTTGGCTCGTTTTACAGCTCTATTATGAAGTGCTGAAATAGTTGCCTTTGTTAAGCCCTTCGATCAATCCCCGTTCTAAACCGATTGGAGATGAAAGTTCTGGACAACAGACGAAAGCTGACCGGCTTTTGCAAAAGGTGGGCGGCTTTCGTGGTCTGCAGCTACGAACAACTCCCTTTAAGTGGCGGTTTTCGGCGGTTTCAACTCCTATCGATTCCACGACTCTTCTAAGTTAAATGCCATCACTTTGTAACAATATTCTACACTTTTAAACGTGTAGAACTTCATGTCTAATCCACCATATGATTTCTTAAAAAGTCATACAACAATAAACTAGTTAAAGGCCCTTACCTCACTCATAGCTTTCTTCTTGCCTTCTCCTAGCTATGGCTGTTGTAAGAGCTATTTCCTGGAGTTTTTCCTCTGCTTGAGTGGTCCGAATGATGCTAAGATGATAGGGGAGACATCTCACCTCACTCCCTCCCAATTATACAATCAAATGGGATCATGTGGGTTGTGACTTTTGACTCAATGAGACTTCCCTTGTCATGTCCGCCCCCTCCCTCATTGTTGGCATCAATTCCATTATTTGGTGTGTACAACTCATAGAGAAACGCCCCAAGTGGGTGTAGGAAGTCCCTCCCAACTATTCCCGCTATTTTTGGCAGGTTGGGCCAAAATAGCACTCGGTTTGCCCAAATATTTTTATCAACTTTAGTTGGCACTTTATTGGGCTTCTATAACTATTACGATGACCCAACTAAATATTTGATAGCCCATTCTCATTATTATGGGTTCCATAAATAATTTAATTAATCACACATTAATTAAATATACCAATCAGTTACACGAATTTATTCGCTAGGAAATTGAAATATATATCAAATTTCAAATTCAAGTGCGTCCGGATGAGGTGTCACATATATAGTATGCACCCCAAGTGTGGATCAAATTGGCTTGCATACATTAATAGTTTTGAAAATAGGGCGCACTATCAAATATCACCCTAAAAATGGTGTGATTTTCTTAATCTCCCATTTTTTAAAAAGGAGTGAAGTGTGGATCGTTGCACTTACCGCTATACTAAAAACACGTCTTCCCCCCTTGGATTAGATCTATCAAATCAGAAAATTTCTTCTCACATCAGAAAAACCATACCATATCAGAAAGATTCATACCTGATTAGAAAATTCCAAACATGATTTATTATTATTATTATTATTATTATTATTATTATTATTATTATTATTATTATTATTATTATTATTATTATTATTATTATTATTATTATTATTATTATTATTATTATTATTATTATTATTATTATTATTATTATTATTATTATTATTATTATTATTATTATTATTATTATTATTATTATTATTATTATTATTATTATTATTATTATTATTATTATTATTATTATTATTATTATTATTATTATTATTATTATTATTATTATTATTATTATTATTATTATTATTATTATTATTATTATTATTATTATTATTATTATTATTATTATTATTATTATTATTATTATTATTATTATTATTATTATTATTATTATTATTATTATTATTATTATTATTATTATTATTATTATTATTATTATTATTATTATTATTATTATTATTATTATTATTATTATTATTATTATTATTATTATTATTATTATTATTATTATTATTATTATTATTATTATTATTATTATTATTATTATTATTATTATTATTATTATTATTATTATTATTATTATTATTATTATTATTATTATTATTATTATTATTATTATTATTATTATTATTATTATTATTATTATTATTATTATTATTATTATTATTATTATTATTATTATTATTATTATTATTATTATTATTATTATTATTATTATTATTATTATTATTATTATTATTATTATTATTATTATTATTATTATTATTATTATTATTATTATTATTATTATTATTATTATTATTATTATTATTATTATTATTATTATTATTATTATTATTATTATTATTATTATTATTATTATTATTATTATTATTATTATTATTATTATTATTATTATTATTATTATTATTATTATTATTATTAGATTCTTATTTGTTTTATTAAGTAAGGAGAAGATTGTTATTAAGAGCCTCTTTGGTGATCCTGTTTTTTCGGCTTATCAGTCTTATGAAACAACTTTTTGTAAACACGCAACTTTTGATTTCACGCGTTGAATTATATAAAATTAAAATAAGTAAGATTGGAGTTACTTTTGTTTGCGGAGAAAAGCTAGGGCTCTAAGTTATAGAAAATATTTTGGGCATTATTGAAAAAAGGGAAAAGTAGCAAATCAGCCCTCGAACTAACTTAAAAAGTGCAATCACTCCTTATATAAGAGATTATGTCCGGCCGTCGCTATTTGGGGTGGTTCCCGGTGTAATTTTTTGATGAAATGTTTTAAGTATCTTCTTCGTTAAGTCTAGTTTACCCATACCAAATTTCAGCTAAAAATTCAACCGGGAAGGCAGTCAAATGAATATTTGAAGATAACTGCGCAGTTAAACATCACAATATATTTCCGAAAATCATTTGACTACCTCCTGGTTGATTTTTTAGCTGAAATTTTGTATGAATAACTAGACTTAATGAAGAAGATGCTCAAAAATTTTTATCAAAAAATTACATCGGAAACTTCTCCAAATGGCGACGGCCGGACAAAGCCTCTTATAAAAAGAGTCTCATATAAAAGGGGTGATTTGCACTTTTCAAGTTACTACTTTTCCCTTAGGGCTCGTTTGGTAGTTTACACATTAAAACATTGCATGCAAAATGATTGCACGTAAAGTGTAGGGCTGTAACTAGTTTGCATGTAAGAGTAATCTTCCGGTCAGGAATTTCCTGACCAGAGTGCCGTCCGGCCTCCTCCATTTGGGGGCCTTCCCGGTGATATTTTTTGCTCAGTTTTTTTGTGGATGAACTAGACTTGATGAGTAACATATACAAAAAATTTGAGCAAAAAATACCACCGAGAAGGCCCCCAAATGGAGGAGCCGGACGGGGCTCCTGTCCGGAATTTCCGGACAGGAATAATCCTGTGCATGTAAACTATAAATACATGGTTTGGCTATCTATGTAATCTGTCTTTAAATTACACAAATTAAAACTGCTTAATTATCACAATCACGAAAAATTAAAAACCCAAGTGCCGATCTGGCTAGAAGGCATAAAAAAACAGGATTTCAATTGCTACCAGATAATTGAGCTCTGGAACAGGATTTCAACGAAGCTTTCTAATGTTCTACCTAATAATAAATAGAAGAGTCTAGACTAGTAAAAAACTAAACGGCGCCTGCCATCTGCGAATCTAGCATCAAAATTGAACTAATAACTTAAATCAAAATATCAAATCTTCAAATATATGTATGGAGAATAAATTGTGCAGAAACTTTTCTGTTGGAATGACGGGTGTAGACGCGAGAGCAATTCAGATGGAGAAGGAGATTTGATGATGTGATTCTCTTGCCGGAAAGAATTTTGCTTGCCGTCACACTCTTCAAAGGCCGGCTACGTTCAATTGTTATGTAATTAGATGTAGTATAGTAGTTATTAAGCCTTATTAACGGAGGTAAACTAGTTTTACCTTCTCCCCACGTAAAATATTTTACATTTTACGTACAATTAAAATGTTTTTTAAAGAAGTGTCAGACAATCTACATTATACAATTAAAACAACCTACTTAAAATGATTACGTAGCAGACAATTACAGAACCCTAGATATGGCAGTAAAGCTGAGAAAACAAGCTCCTCTCTCAAACGGATCTGGGTATCTGGCTACCACGTTTTTAATGCGTAGAGGCTTCTATCTTGTCGCAGTATCATCATTGCCCGAGCATTCATCCAAACTACAACTACAGTGTGCCTGAAAATACTGCACTCCATACTCCACTTCACTTCTCTTCTGAACACCTTGGTGTAGGTGTTTGCTCGTCGTATTCTGGCCTAACCCCTTGGTGCGTGTCTGTCGAATTCCGGGGATTCGTTAAGGTATGTATAGGTAATTTTTGGCAGGCGCCGCTTAAGCCTTTTACCTTCTCAGTCAACCGGTGCCCGACGCCCCTGTCTTTTTGCTCGCTGGTGCTGCTGATACGAAGTACGAAACAGCGAACTAAAAGTGAAACGACGGGCAGTTATTCAACAAACGACATTCCATTTTCTCAATTTTAAAATAATTGAACAAACATTACGTCCTTACAACCTTACTCCTTAGGTTATTTTAACCGTTCAATTCACTCAGCAGCTCAACCGAAAAATCGAAGAGGTCAGGAGGAGGAATTGAGGAAGAATGATGATTTAAAATTCAGCCGCCACCCGCGGGTGCCGTGCTGGACCGCTGACCATCTCTGGAAGCCGGAAAATAGAAGACATGGGTACTCTCTGCTACACATTTTGGTGAAGAGTTGAAGACTAAAGTCGTTTGTGAGAAGGTAATGTTATCTTTTGTTTCATACTCCCTCTGTCCCCTAAATGTCCCATTTTAACATATTGGGATGTGCCTATTTAATTGTCTCATACCTTATTTGGTAAAGTTGGTGTGTCTCAAAATCATTCTTACTTTATTCTTTGTGGACATTTAAAAGGGGACGGAGGGAGTATATTTTAATATTTTGTATGTGTGAATTGTAATATGTTGTTGAAGTGTGTGACCTTTGTTCATTTATTTTATTACAGTTTACTAGACCTCTTAATACGTTCTTTATTTCTTTTAGTGTGTATTTCTTAAGGAAATAATCTTATTAATTTAACAGTGAATTTATTGATTAAATATACACCAATGCTTATTATTATATGATTTGCAATTGCACATCTCCTAATTGTTATTATACTATAGAAGCTTAATACCTTAGCTAAAATACAGTTCGTTGCTCTGTTTCTGTCCTCTACAGTCTTCATAAGTTATGCTCGGTCCTATTATTTTGAACTATTGGTAACCTATCTTAACTAGTTTGGCTGGAACTTAAAAGGTGATACTGATTTTCCCAATTTTAATTTATTTTCAGGCTCAATATGAGCTCAACAAACATCGTTGACTCATGTAGAGGTGAAGATCTCGAAAGGTATACAAAAACTGTTAAACTGGAGCCAGGTTTTGCTGGAAGGTCAATGTCACAGAAGGATGATTTAAGAAATGACATAATGCTATCCAAAGTGAGCTCTAGAGAGAACCAAACCTCTGGGGCTATTTACACCAGACAGGGTAGTGGAAGCGGTTTATGTCAAGAACAGTCTGCTATAGATGATTCAAGCCTCTGTTCCATATCTCCGATATGCTCAGCACCTCTTGTTCGGCAGTTTTGGAAAGCTGGAAACTATGACGGGGGACTTAATTCGAAGCCTACCCATAAAAGTACCTTACCTTCAAACAACAAAATCTTTTCTAATTGTGAAAACATATAAAGCTCTAATTTCTGAAAATGCCTTGGATTATTGCTCACTAATTTGAGTTTCATATTATAATTCAATGACCGCACATGTAGTGGTTACAATTGTATACCCCAGTTCTAAAATTTGGCTTAGGCGTAGCCTTACTTTATGCGGTCCAAAAATAGTTCACTTGACTCTATCAATTCATTAATTGATTCCTATTGTATACAACTATCGACGAAGAAATCTAAACATGTAAAATGTAAAAAATGATTTTGTCATATACGGAGTATTATTTTACTTTGCATTTCAGAATTCAGATATAAAACCATAACATTAGAAAAAAACTTTCTTTAGCACTTTTCTTTCTTTTATGCATTGTATTTTCTAGGATCCAAGCATACCATTTGTTTCATAAGTTTGGCTGCAGTTCACTGTGTCTCTAACTTCATACTACACACTAGTTATGGTTTACTTGTTTATACTATCACATACTCACATATTATCTAACTAGTTTAATTTCTGTTGCAGATGGTACCAGTTACTTGCACATCCATCCAAAGTTCCTACATTCAAATGCTACATCACACAAATGGGCATTTGGCGGTGTGTAAATTCTCTTCCAAATATACACACATTGTTTATCTCTTTAAATGGAATACAGAACACCATTCCCACTTGTTTTCTCATGTCTGCAGCCATTGCAGAGCTGCTTGACAATGCTATTGATGAGGTTAGCCTCTGACTGTCAGCCTGTTTTGCTTTCTCTCTCTAGGATTTAGGCAAGTAGTTTACACTTCTGATGTTTAATGCCTTGGATTATTGCTCACTAATCTGATTAACCAAAATAAAGTCATGATTCACAAAAGCAAAACAACCAAATTCAGAATTCATAACTTAAAGTCTTTAACTTTAAAACTGAAAAATAAAACATAATTAGATTTTAGTTTTCTAGAGTAATAGAGTATAGACTATATAAGAAGGATGCTGAAAAAATGAAGTAGAAAGAATATGGCAAAATGAAGAGTGTTGCACATGTTAGACCATTATAGTGGTAGTTTACATATATATTTTTAAGTTGTATAGAGTATATAAGAAGAAGTAAATACTGAAAAAAGAAAAAAGAAAGAAAATGGAACGATGAAGGAGAAGAAAGCTTACTGCTGCCAGCTTCTGCGGTTGATGTGGAGGACAGGAGGAGGTAGCAAACAGGTAACTTGAGTAGAGCAGAGCAGAACAGGTTTACATTGTGTTGTTTAGCATGGGTTTATGTTGTTTTGACCTTATCTAGACGGGCTTTATTAAAAATATGGGCTTCTTATTTGAGCACACGTCTGAACTGTATCATCAAACTTAAAATAAACGTGTCCCCCCTGTCAGTCGCGATTAGCGAGCGCCTTTTTATCGCTGCAGCGCTTCAGTGCTTTTGCACCTAAGCTGCGCCTTATACAGGGGGGGGGGGGTGCGGCGAGCCTGACCGTTCTTGAAGCGCCAGGGCTTGTGTGCGCTGCGCCTAGTGCGCTTAAGCGCCCATGCGCTCGACTTTGACTACACTGGATGGATGGAATAACAATGAACAAGGAACTTTGGTATATGATTCAACCCCAACATCTAAGCCTTAATCTCAAAACTCAAAAGAGTTTGGGGTCGGCTAACATGAATCAACATATGATATCAGAGTAAAAAATAATAAATAGTAATAATAATGTTAAATTGAAAGAAAGGGGGAGACAAATAAAATCAGATCAATCCTCCACATGTACATCTCCCTCTACTTCGCTCTCTCCAAAGTACACTCACCTAATCCAAGAAGTACAATATCATTCTTCACCATTCTAATCCACACCTGTCTAGGTTGGCCTTTCCATCTCCTCCCCGCCTCCTCTCCCCACCTCTCCATTTGTCTCACAGGTACATCACTCGATCTTCTACAAACATAGCCAAACCACCACATTTGAGATTCTCTCATCTTATCTTCAATAGGTTTTACTCCCATTTTTTGGCTGCATGTCTCATTCCTCAAGTGGTCTTTTCTAGCATGTCCACACATCTAGCAAAACATGCACATGCTTCGACCACATTCATCTTATACGCCATGCAAATATACAATAATGCAGTCTAGTCGGCATAATTCAATCACAAAGAAATTTGATGCAATCTTCCTTTACATCCACACTGTTTAGGTCTTCTCTGTGAGTAGTTGGTTTTACAGCGGATGTTCTTCATTAATGATGATGATGATTTTGTGTCTTTCGTCTCATTATAGAGTAACCCAATCTTAAACAATTTATTACACCATAAATTTCATGTTATTTATCACCCATCAAAGACAATTAGGTTTAAGGCGGTGATGATGGTATATATAGTATGATAATTGCCTTGTCTCAACTCTGAAGCATAAAAACTATGCTATAGAAGCTTCCTCAATGTCTCAATTTAAATATCTAACGTAGTTAAATTGCGTTTTTCCCACTTTTTCGGTTTTCCCAGTAGGCAGGTTTAGTAACTCCTTTAAAATGACTAAGTATTTAATTAATTATTTATTATTTTTCATTTGACAAGTAATGCCTGTCTTAAAAAAGAAATGCACCTTTTAACGTTGGCCGATAGCTTTGCACTACTTTTATCCACTCAGACTTTTTTTTGTACATGCTCTTTTACCCCTCATAAAAAATAGCCATGTTACTATATTCCTGTACTTATTGTAAGTTTTTAACCCAGTAAACATAAAAGGAGCAGCTTATTGAAATTCATACTTTTTGCACCGGTTATATAGCCATTTTGTTTTAAATGATTTGCAACATAATGAATCTCTGTCGCAGCAGATATCTAGGAACCGGGGAGGGGTGGGGGGTTTGTTTAGATGTGAAGCTGTCACTTAGACTTCTTTTGGTCCAAAGAGTCTTCTATACTCAAACCTGGAAAACAGATCTTTGTTTGATTTAATTTATCAATGCTCTGAGTAACTTTTTTAATAATACTTTGCTCCCATGTTTCATATCTTCTGAGTAGATACAAAATGGGGGCACCTTTGTTGTAGTAGATAAAATAGTAAATCCAAGGGATGGAAGATCTGCTTTGTTAATTCAAGGTATTCTACAATTAAATTTACTTGTATTCTGGTTTTGATGCAATTCTAGTCCTGAAATCGTATGCTTTGCTAAACTGGACATAGATGATGGGGGTGGAATGGACCCTGAAGCAATGCGTCATTGTATGAGTTTCGGATTTTCAGATAAGAAGTCAAAGTCAGCAATTGGACAGTGTATGCATCCTGTCACATGACATTAACTATTCTTATTTAATCACATTTAAAATGCTGACTTTCCATCTTTTAGATGGAAATGGTTTTAAGACGAGTTCGATGAGACTTGGAGCAGATGTTATTGTCTTCAGCCGCTCAAGGAAAAGGTTTGAGACACTTTTATCTTCATCATCATATTTCCTTGGTCTGGTCTGGAATAATTGGGTGTATATCATTTAAAGTCATAAAAGCTGTCTTCGGTTCAGCAATCATACTTATAATGGGGTGTTTATATTATACACTCATTAGCTTCAGTTAGCTGTATATCACATGCTCATATTTGCCTTTCTGGGGTGTCTGGTAAAGTTTTGCTTTTAATAATCTTATAATGAGACAATTTTTCCCAGTGATCATCATTGTTTTTTGTCATATAATCTTGATTTACTGTATCAACATATATAATTTTCTGTTTAGCTAAGCTATGGTCTTTAGGAGTGAATTCTTTCTGATCTATCTGAGGCACTAGTATACTTTTACAGTATCAGTTTCCTTTCCTAAATAGCAGCAAATATTTGACGAGTAGATATAACTATATGACCTTTTCTAAGCAGGAGAATTTGTTTACCAATTTTGAACTTTCAGAATCTAAAAATTTCAGACCAGATATATCAACATATGCAAAGTACAGAAATGGGAAACTAGTGCTATTCATGCTCACCTCTTCCCAATTTGTTGCCACAAAACCTATCTCTGAATAATTATATATTTGCGTCTTTCTTTGGCAGGAGGGGGTGGGGGATTGTAGAAGGCTGTCTTTATTTACATAACTTATGCTCGTTCTTTGATAGTCTGTTCAAACACACTGATATTTTTATTCCATCTACTTGCATCAGAAAAGTGACACGAAGCATTGGGCTTTTATCTTACACATTTTTGGCACAATCTGGCCTTGATAGAATAGTGGTTCCAATGGTGAGTTTCCTAGTATAAGCTATATAAACCTACACATGGGTCTAGTGCTATTAAAGTTTTGTATTTTGCATTGATGAATGCAATTAATTGAATGAATTCTGAATTGGTGCATGTTTTATCCATTACTGCATCCGTCCCTAAATAGTCTTCACACTCCCCTTTTCTTCCTTCCTAAAATTATCACCCATTTTATCTTTTGGAAATATGTGGCTGATATCAACTCTCCTTATTAATAAATCTCAATCAGACAATTTTTACTCTTCAGTTTTTTTTTTGCCCGGTCAATGTTTTTTTTAAAGAGACGGAGATGGTATAACATACTAGTATAAGTGAATATGTGATAGAACTCTCCAGGTATACAGAAAATTATAGAGAAGATGAACAAAAATTCAAGAACTACACACTTACACAGAACTTTAATAGTGATGAACGAATACAAGCAAGGTCCCAAAGAAAGAGATTATGAGTCTCAATTCTTCCCAATTCCAACTAAACAGTCAAACAACCTACTTTCCTTTCCCAGCTTTATTCTATTTATAGTTCCCCAGCTAAACCGAAGGTAGTTATTAGCTAATAACAGAATTTAAGTAACAACTAACTATTCTATTTACTCCTTCTAGAATAGATTCTTCCAAAATATTTGTTTTCTTTATTCGGCTTAGCTTTATCCTTATTAATACTCCCCCTCTGAGAACCCAACTTGTCCTCAAGTTGGAATGCTGGGAACTGTTCCTTGATTACTTGCTCTTTTTCCCAAGAATCTTCAAAATGCAGTAGATCCTTCCAATGCACTAGGACTTCTGTTTCCCCTTTAGGATTGAATCTGACATCCTTCACCTCCTCAGGCATCACCAACAATTCACCTTCTTCAGTCAGACATTTAGGAAGATCTTGGTAGGTAGTTGTAGGTGTCAGCACCTTTTTAAAGAGGGATATATGAAAAACAGGATGAATCTGACTATCCACTGTAATTTAAGCATGAAAGCCACAAGATTTATCTTCTCTATGATCTCATAAGGGCCATAAAATTCGGGGTTTAGTTTTTGATTAATTCTCTTGGCTAGACTCTTCATTTTGTAAGGCTGTATCTTCAAAAATACCCTGTCTCGAACCTCTAGTTTTACTTCTCTTCTATGTTTATTTGGTTCTGAGCCTTAGCTAGATGTTCTTTTAATTCCTTGAGAACCTCATTCCTCTCAGCAGTTAACCTTGATACTTCAGCCACATAAGACAAACTGACATCCCCTCTGATTATTACAGGAGGCTCTTGACCAAATAGGGCTTGATAAGGTGTATTTTGTAGAGAAATATGATAATTGGTATTATACCAAAACTCCGCCCAGGGTAACCACCTAACCCATTGTTTGGGTTTCGTGTCAGTCATACATCTCAAATAGGTCTCCAAGCACCTATTTACAACCTCTGCCCATCACTCTGCCCATCACTCTGGGGATGGTAGGCAGTACTGTATTTCAATTGAGTACCTGCTGATTTAAACAATTCAGATAAGTACTCAAAAATAGGCTATCCTTGTCACCAACAATGGACTACGGGAATCCATGTATCTTCACCACTTCTTGTATAAATAGCTCAACAACTCCTTTAGCATTGTAAGGATGAGCTAAAGGCAGAAAGTGTGCAAACTTTGTCAGCCTACCAACCACCACCAAAATAGTATCCTTGCCCATAGACTTTAGGTAATCCCCCAATAAAGTCCATACTAATGTCAGTCCAGATATGATCAGGAATAGGTAATGGTTGTAACAAACCTGCAGGTTTCAATGCTTGATAGTTGTTCCTCTGTCAGATTTCACATCCTTGAACATACTCCTTGATATCAGTTCTCATTCCAAACCAATAAAATAGGTTTGAGATCCTTTTCATTGTTCTAAAATACCCAGAGTGTCCTCCCACTGCTGAGTCATGGTATTATTTTAGGATTGTAGCTATTCTGCTAGACCCCTTAGGTAATACCAGCCTCCCTTTGAATACAGCAGCCCCCCCTTTAACTTGTAATCCTGTACCCTGTCTGATTGGGTTAAGACCTTTTGGATAATTTCTCCACACTTGAAATCCTTCTCTAATTATTCTTCCAATCCCTTCCACTCTTGACAGGTTACTATGGATAAGGAAAACATAGTAGGTTTTCTAGAAAGAGCATCAGCTGCTCTATTCTCAATACCTGGCTTGTATTTGATAGTGAAATTATAGCCCATCAACTTAGCTGTCCATTTTTGTTGTTCCTCTTCCATGGCCTTCTGTTCAGTTAGGTATTTTAGGCTTCTTTGATCTGTGTGTACCTCAAACTTCCTTCCCAGCAAGTAGGGCCTCCATTTCTGGATGGCATATACAGTTGCCATCAATTCTTTCTCATATACTGATCTGTTTTGATGTTTAACAGATAATTCCTTGCTCAGATAATTCAAACAATGGGTTAGGGTTAGGTTACTGCTACTTCTGACACCCTCTCCCCATTTTTGATAACTGTTTCCTTTTTTCAGAGTATTCTTCCACATTCTTCTTCCTTCTTCCTTATTTTTCCTGGACACAATTTCATTATTTTTATTTTCAATTAAATATGCCTTGTCCATAATTTCAGCCAGGTCTTTGGTATTATACAACTTTAATTCAGCCCTGATGTGTTTCTTCAGACCATTCAAGAAAATGCCCTTCATTACCTTTCTGTCCAGATTTTCTTGAGATGCAATGGCCAATTCAAACTGCTCCCTGTACTCTTTAACAGTACCTTTCTGTTTCAGACTCAGTAAAGGACCCAGGGGGTTTGAACTAATTCAGGCTGGAAGCGACGAGTCAAAGCCTTCTTCAGTTTTTCCCATGTCCGCTCACGCGCTTGATTCTCCCACCATTGGAACCAGCTGAGCGCCTTATCCTCCTAGCTACAACCGCCACATCAATTTTATCTTCTTCTATGTTATTGAGTCTGAAATAGCGATCAATCCTGACCAGCCAACCATATGCGTCATCACCATTGAATAAAGGTAAGTCTACCTTTCTTCCAGTTCGATGATGATGGCAATTGCGAGGGGGGGGGGGCGAATAATCAGAATTGCTTTCCGATCCATCTGGACTAGCAACATGTCGTGTGAAGCATGTGACCTGCTTCGCAATCGACTTTGGGCTCTCTCCTCCAAGTTCGTGAGCGTAGCCTGCATTGCCATCAGTAACGCCGTAGTCTGTTGCTGATTCCTCTCCAAGTCATTCATTGGCGATTCCATCTTTGCGCGCGTCAAGACCATCAACAGTGATCAACGTGCTCTGATACCACTGATAGAACTCTCCAGGTATACAGAAAATTATAGAGAAGATGAACAAAGAACTACACAGAACTTTATTAGTGATGAACGAATACAAGCAAGGCTCCAAGCAAGAGATTATTAGTCGCAATTCTTCCCAATCCCAACTAAACAGTCAAACAGCCTTCATTCCTTTTCCAGCTTTATTCTATTTATAGTTCCCCAGCTGAACTGAAGGTAGTTATTAGCTAATAACAGAATTTAACTAACAACTAACTATTCTTTTTACTCCTTCTAGAATAGACTCTTTCAAAATATTTGTCTTCTTTATTTGACTTAGCTGTATCCCTATCAATATACTTATATACTCTGAACTTGATACTGGGTACGTTTTAGTTTCCCTCTCCCTACCCCTTTTATGTATAGGAATGGTGATAGAAAGAACCTTGCTCCAAATTTGGATTATTTGGTCACACCCCTGTCAAAATGTTTTGCTCTTTGACAACGGATATGCTCGGATGGTTAAGTAAAAGTGCTACTATGAACAACTTAGTGCTTCTTTGGCTTGTTTGGCTCAGCGAGATAAGAGGCAAGAACTATGAGTTTTCAGAACTCGTGAGTTGTGAAAGAACTTTCTTTGATAAGTATTTTAATGATATTTAGCAAATACCCCTTGGAGTAGAAGGGAAAACTTTGGTGGATTGAATCTACCAGTTAAAGACCGGTATCATGAGTTGACCACTGGAACACTATAATCACTTGTCCTGATCTATTATAATTGGGCTTAACCCATCATCTCTAGGTTTAGGGCAAGGTTACCAATATCTTCTACTTTCCCCGTAACTTAGAGAATATATATTACATATGTCAACTGTCAAGTTATTTAAATTAAGTATCCCTTAGGTAGTGGAGGCCTTGCTGCTCTTGCTTAATTCCAGGCATCTTCCACATAATGTGATCTTGAAACACCACCACATCAACAGAAAAAATTACACACGAAATTAGCAGTTAGTAATCTTACTAACAGTTCAAACTTGAATGGATTAGCATGAACATATAAAGGTTAATCCTAATGGTAAAGATAATACCCACTGTCCCAAATTATAAGATAGTTTTTCATTATGAGGCTTAGCCTAAGTCACAATTCATTTTCGGTAATAATTAGTGTAGTAGTAGTTTTTAAAAATATACATATTTTAAAACTACTATAAAACTATTAGACCGCAAATAAACAGTTTGAGTATGATAATAGTTTGCTGTAGAAAATAAGGGAACATAAAAGAGCTGGGTTGATCACTTATAGGCAAATAAAATGAAGCAAATGGTGTAAAAGTAAGGAACAACTTATTTTAGTAGTGTAATATTAACTTTGTAAGACCATTATCTAGGTTTCCATATGCAAAGGATGGGATTTAGAAAGAGGCGGAAGTTACAAATCGTTAGAGATGTGACTCTAGGAATTTGAGTTCAAAATTGATGGCTACTGGCTAGAAACACTAATACACATACACCACAGATGAATACTTATATCTGCTGAAAAGCAGACTGTTTAGATGACATATGCTGTAGATGCATTTTGTAAAATATAGTCAAAGGAGTAAGCTTAAGGTGTTGCTGTGTGACTGGATCACGGGCTCAAGTCTTGGAAGCAGCCTCTTGTCAAAATTTGACAGGGGAAGACTTGCCCCTTACCCTTGTGGTGGGGTCCTTCCCCAAACCCTCGCCTTTCTTGGATGCCTTCATGCACCAGGCTGCGCTTTAGTCTAAGAAGTAAGCTAGAAAATTGGGTTTCAGGTTTTGTGGCTTGAAACAGTTGTGGGTATTGAATTATGCCCCAGTTTCTCACTACTGGGACCACTACTGGGAGTTGTAAAGCTTGACAAAATTTGACCTCAGATGTGATAAAGTTTTTGCTGGATGCCCTTGAAACCCAACAGCATGATACGCCTGTATCTGTTTTTTTTCTGTGATATTTATCGCTCACCTTTATAGTCAGACTATAATACACACAGTGATCTTTGGACCACGTTATACAGAGGCTTCCCACGATATATATATATCTTGTTCGCACTTTTGACAAGTTTATAGAATTCTAGGTTGGATTGGACAGTACATTTTTAATGAATGCAGCAAATAGTTTTCAGTCTGGTCACTTGGTCAGAGAGTGTGTGGTGGCTTCATGTGTAAACAATGTCTTGTGGGGTGGTTTGCGGTGACCAAACTTTCCAAATATGGTTGCCACAGGGAGAGGGTATAGTGGGATAAGCAGACCCTCAGAAATGAGGTTGGAATGGAAAAAAGTGGAAGACATCATGGACTGTAAATGCCACATAGCGATTGGCGACACCCTAGTTCCATAAATCGCTCAAGAGCCCACGATCTGCGTTCCGAACGTTCCGTACCCAATGGTGGTACAAAAGCGTTCCAAAGGCTTCCAGGATCGCCGGCGAATACGCTTCCCAGATCGTTCCCAGTCGCTATTGAATTCGTTTGCAAACACTCTCCAGTTCGTTCGCAACCCCTATCCAGTTTGTTTGCAATCGCTTTTGATTTTGGTCGCAGACGCACCAAACGCTATCAAGCCTCGTCATTTCCTTTCCGCGTGCAGATGCGATGACCCGCAACGTTTGAGTTCAAACATTCCTACAGACTCGAACCAACTCTTAGTTTTCTGCTCCAGGGCTCTTCGTATTCCGACCACACCTACTCTTCCAGTGTCTCCTATTTAATGGGGTGAAAATTGTTCCGTTTTGAACTTCTATTCTCGTTTTTAACTTTTATTTAGTGATTCTTTGTTTTCAGTTTTGAGTCAAAAGTTCTATAATATTAATGTTTTTTTATTTTGTTTAATGTTATGAAATCTGTTTTTGTTTAATATCATGAATTCTGTAAATCTATTTTATTATAGTACCAAAACACAAGGTACAACATACCGAACATAACGTACAACGTACCGAACGCGTACTAAAATGAACCTACCCCCCTCCGAACCGGATTCGCTAGACCTAGCAAACCGCGTTCCAGATCCTCGTTCCCGTACCGAACCGTTCCGCAAATTATGTGACTATGGGCGACACTTCCAGGGGTGCGTGGGTGGAGCCTTGAGAACAGGTTACAGCTGGTACTGAAGCTTAATGGTAGTCTGTCAACCAACCACTGGGTGTGCATCAGGGAAGAAAGAAGGTAGCGGGAGAAAAAGGCCACAATCGACTATTCATGTGGGAGGAAAGCAAATCAAACTCGCTGGTAACTCCGAGGAGAGTTACATCTCTTAAGCATGTCATCATCATCATTATCCCAACTCAGATAAGCATGTAACAAGACAAAAATTTAATTGCATTGAGATATACTCATATGGCGAGACAAAACTTAATCCCATTGAGGTTTGTATTAATAAATATACAAAGGCCTTACATTTAAACATAATCCAGGAATGAACCTCCCCCGCCCTAGCTTACGCCTCTCACATGTGACTTGCCTCCTTTGGACGTCCTAGGACTCGTAGCTAGAGCTCCCCATTTCTACTCCATGAAATAATTAGCCGTCAGCACTTTTAAATGACAACTTAATATCAACATAGTTAGAATATACATATTTAATAGTCAACATATTCTATGTGTATATATATGGTAGGCTTAGTTTTAAAAGGAGTGAGGCAGCTTGAGGCACTTTCATTGATTTACCCGAGGCGCGAGGCGCTAGGTGGTGAGGCGTGCGCCTCACGGAACTAAAAAAAATAACTTTGGTAAATTATATTTATACTTCATGAAGGCCTCTCCCCAAAAAATGACAACTTCACTAAAATACCTCAAGCCATGAAACAAGCTTAATTAACACCAAAATCAATCACAAAAAAAAAATTATTCAAACAGTAACAACAAATATGTTAATTGCCTATTCATAATGTAATTAAAAAGCAAAGTAGCAAACTCACAAGCAAAGTAGTGTACTCATCAACAATTAATAGTAATTTTTAATAAAACCATTATATAATCAAGTGTTAATATTTACAAACTGTCATAATAAACTCTTAATAATAAATTTAACAATTAACAAAATAATTATTTAATAAATTGTTATATAAGAAGCTTTTTATAATAATAAACTATCTCTGCCAAAAAAATAATATTTTCTGATATAACTGTTACATAATAAACTATAAACTAAAACCAAGTTTAGAGTAATATTTTAATAATTTAAAAGAAATAAACAGTCAATACTAATTTCTAAACATTTAATAGTAATTTTTTTAAAAGTTATGATAAATTTTTAATAAACTATAATTATTAAAAGTAAAAACTTAAACAATCTAATTGTAGAAACCCTCTTTATTATTATTATTGTTATTACTATTTAACATTGATAAACAATCTGATTTAGTGTAGGGTTTAGGGCAGATTGCTAAAGTGTTACTAGTAATATTTAAATAATTGAAACTGTTTGATAAATTTTAAAATTTTAAAATAAAAAGAAAAGAAAGGGTAAAGGAAACAAAAGAGAGAAAGAGTAAAGGAAACCTGCGACTCCTTCAAACAAACCTTCGACTTTACGATGCTAGGAGAGAGGAGCGGAAGAATAGGGAAAGGCAAAGAGAGAATCGCCAAAGGTCTCGCAGGGACAAGTCGATACTCATCCTAGAGGCGCCAGAGGCGGCCGCATAACAGAAGCGCAGAAAGCGTCAAAAAGCGACGGATGGGGCACGCCATTGGGTATCTACTGCGCCTGGGACTAACAGATGCGAGAAACCCATTGCCTAGCTGCGCCTCGCGCCTTTAGGCGCGCTTTTTTAAACTTAAATGGTAGCTAATATATTCTCTGCGATAGACTAGATATTCTCCGTAAATCTGGCAGATTTAGTTTCCTTTTGTATTCTCTAGCTTGTATGTATTTATATCGGCTATACCCAATGAATAACAGACAGTGATTTCATTGCATCTTTAATCTCTATTATTAATTACACACATATTAAAAATAATACACCTATAACATCACAATTATCATCAATGACCTCATTATATTATATACCCATCACAATTACTTCTCAAAATATACTCGAATAACCTTATTTAATTACCATTTTCCAATGAGAAGTTTAAGACGGGATGGAGGTGGCATATGTTTGGACCAAGGCCATATGTAGTTAGGGTTAGGTTACCAATTTTCAAGATGAGTTCTCATTAGAGGCAAACTACCTCTTATGTAATCTGAAGTCTGAACGTTAACTACTCCCTCCGTCCCTTATAACTTTGCCAACTTTCCTTTGTTGAATGTCCCACTAACTTTGCCACTTTCCCTTTTAAGTAAAGAATTTGTGGTTCCAGTTAATTCTCTCTCCTTTACACAAACTTCAACCACACAATTTTTACTTTATTAATTTCCGTGCCGGTCAAACTTGGCAAAGTTTTGAGGGACGGAGGGAGTATTATTTTTGGCCTTTTGAATGACCTCTTGAGGTAAATAAAGTCCTAGCAAACAAGCACTTAAGTTGAAGTTGGGTAGTGTCTAATCCATGTAAGAAATTCTAATTTTGCTTTATTTCATTATTTTTTATTCTCATCTTGTCTTAAGATACGCTCCCAGTACTCATTTTGCCTGACTTCATTTTATATATTCACATCTTGTCTTAAGATTTGCTCCAAACACTCATTTTTGGTTAATGGTGCAGATTGACTATGAGTTCAATTCCACAGATGGCACATGGAATTCAATACACACTGAACAACATTTTGCAACAAATCTTTCTCTGCTATTGAAGTGGTCACCATTTTCAACAGAGGAGGATCTTCTGTGTCAGGTATGTCTAACCTTTGGTATTGTTCTCTGGACTGTTACTTTTTATTTCCTATTGTGTCATTTGTCATGTAAATTACCTAGTATACTTAGAATGTTATTGAATTTGTATGAACGTATCCGATTCATCTAAAACAATACCTTTTAACTAGTGGTACCCATGATTTTGGTCTTCCGTATTCACGCAAAAAGGGAAAGGGAAACATTAATATATCCTGATGCCTGAGAATTACTTTTGTTATTGTTGTGATGCTGCATTTCCAGCTGTAAGAACTATTAATGCGTTTTTCCTGGCAATTTCTCGTCTTCCAATGGATAGTTTGTTGACATTGGTGATCATGGCACAAAGATCATTATTTACAATTTATGGTTGAATGATGAAGGGAAAACAGAGCTCGACTTCAACTCTGATCCTGAGGTTGGTTTTTCTGGACCCTATTACTCAAGACTTCTTAAACTTGTTGCAAAGTTGCTTTAAGTTGTGTTACTTCTTTGTTGCATTCTTCGCAGGACATTCGTATTTGTAATTATACAAGTAATATGGAGAAGGGTCCTCGTGCATCTGTAAATGATGAGCATCTTGCCAACCGTCTCCGTTTTTCAATGCGTGTAAGCATGTTTAGTGCCATGCAACCATACTCCATGGCCTGTGCAAAAACATTGGTATCTAATTTTTTTTATTACATGATGAACAGGCATACCTATCCATTTTGTACTTGCGAGTTCCTGAAAACTTTTGTATTGTGTTGCGTGGGAGCTTAGTTGAGTATCATAATATTGCTAGTGAACTCAAATATCGGCAATGTATCTTGTATAAACCATCAAGTGGTGGAGTTTGTGAGGTAGGGACTTGCTCTGTTTTATATTTGATATGCTATTACATTGGTATGTCGTATGTTGATTCATGTTAGCCGACCCTAAATCCTTTTGGGATTAAGGCTTGGATGTTGTTGTATGCCTTTGCATTGGTGTAGAAATTGAGGGATTGAAATGCCTGGCACGTGGAAATTTGCCACTACCGTCAGGTGTGCTGGAGTAAAATAATTATAAAGAATTTATTGATACTATTGATAGTAACTTAATCATTATGAATATTCTGAGAGGTATCTGTCTATATTGGAATATGACATACTAACATGATGGGCTAGGACCAACACCAAATTTGCAAACATCAATTTTGTTGTTCATGTGCAGTGAATGATTTTCGGTTTATAGAATCTCTGCTATATAAGTCAGGAGCATACAACTTGCCTTACACAGCTAATCCTTTCCAAAAAATTCTTTGGGAACTTTCTATCCTGTAAGTTTAATGGTGATACATCCTTTTGTAGGGTGAAATCATTACGACTATTGGGTTCCTAAAAGAGGCCCCATTGGTGAATCACCACGGTTTCAATGTCTATCACAAAAACCGTTTAATACTGGTGAGCATCTTTGCTTTACTAAAGAATATTTCATTTTGGTACTATTTATATTCTTGGTAGTAATTTAGCCAATTTTCCATCATCACAATCACCTCAATCTGAATCTTATTGGATTGTTAAAAATAAGTTAAAATTAAATTAGTTCATAATATGAACTGATGCAAAAACGCGCAGCTGCAATGTTTTTAGAGGGATGCCCTTTCTTTTATAACCTTCTTACGAAGGTATAGTGAGATTAAATTATATTTTTGTGATCATTCTAGGGATGCTCTGCTTGCAAGTTAATTATTTTGTCATATACTCCCTCCGTTATTTATTTGTTGTCCCTATAGGGTTTTCATAGTAAATAAGATGGAAATAGTAGCGGTAGTGAATAGTAGGAGAGAGATGATGAAAAAAGTAAGAAAGAGAGACTAGCATGCTTGTCACGGTGTCACCTAGGCGTCCTGGCGCTACGGACTGCCCGCCAGCTTCACTCGCCTCGCCAGATGAAGAGTAGTCGTGAACGGCGTCGTCCAGGCGCTATTTTGGCGATGAAGTCCTCGGCTCCTCGCCTTTTTGGAAAGTCGGACCGCTATGGCGCAGGCCCAGAACCCAAATAAAAATAGATTTAGGCGCCAGCCCATAGTAATCTACCTTACCGACGATTTGTTGCCCAAAGTCGTATAGGCAAACCAAGTCCCTCGCTCGCGGAAGACGAACTCGCAGGAAGCAGACGAGCAACTCCACGAAGAAGACGAAATTGCAGGTATCGCCCTCCTTCAGTCCCTCGCTCACGGAAGCAGAGTAGCAGACGACTTCCCAGTTCCCAGTCCCCGTTCTCTTCTTCTTGGCTTCATTTTTTTTTTCTTATTTTAAGTAATTAAGTTGTATGTGTGTGTGTGTATATATTGAAAGGGTGTAGTTATATACTTATATACGAAGTATATTATTCCCAGCCTGTGAGACTTGTATTTTATTATAAATTATAAAATAATAAACTATTAAAATAATCATAAAAACTACTCCCTCCGTCCCTGAAAATACTTCCAACTTTCCATTTTCGTTCGTCCCAAAAAGAACTTCACTTTCCCTTTTTGGCAAAGAATTTGTGGTTCACAGCATTTCTCTCTCCTCTGCACAACTCTCCACCACACAATTCCCATTTTCTTAATCCGCGTGCCATTTTATTTTGGAAGTAAATTCAGGGACGGAGGTAGTAGTACATACTAATATATACTTCCTCTATTCTTTTTTAGTTGCAACATTCACTTTTTCACGTTTGCCAACACACAACTTTGACCGTCATTATATTTAATTCTATATTAGTATAAATTAATTAAAAATCAGATTATGAAACTTTTTAATGAGACAAATTCAACAATATTTTTTTTTAAAAAATCACATACATTAATAAGTAAAATGTAGTCAAAGTAGAGTACATGAACAGTGTGTAATTTGCAATGTTGCAACTAATGCGATACGGAGGATAGTACTACGTATGATATAAATATTTTGCATAGTTTAATTTATATAGATGAGTAGATGACTATATACTCTATATAATTATAACTTATATATAATATGAAACCTTTGGCTGAATAATATATACATTCATATGTATATAAATATATGAATAAATACAGTGCCTAATTACTAAAGCAAAACCTTTGGCTGATTTTGAAACTTGGAATCTGGCCAATTCTTAAAGAAATGGTTAATGAAACCATTAATTTCAAATTTGATAAAAGTCTAGCTGAATTTCAATTTTCTTCAAACATAAGTTATTAGCACATATGTTGGTACATGGTCAGGGGAATTTGGAGTCACTTGCCACATCAGCTGTGATATGAGTGTAAATGCAAGCAGAAGATTTAACATCTATGGTTTTACTTTTTCAGTTTTGCCTGATTTGATTGATTTATTTTCACTTGATTCCAACACCATTTGTTATTGGATGTTTGGATTAGTCTTATTTGACGTCCCGGCCTAGTCGTCGTCTTTTTCAGAGATTAATGTTATCTAGTTATTCAAATTAGTAGGTCAAGCAATCACATTGTTTGATTAGTAGAAAAGATTTAACCACAATAAAACAAGGCCGGTTACTCCTTACGTGGCATATGCTTACAATTTTGCTGATTTCTTATCGTGATTTCTCATCACGTGACATGCTGACAAGTGAGACTATTTAGTTTGACTAGAATCGTAATTTGGTTAGATTTCAGATGACACACCAGAACTTATGACACTACAATTGATGTTTTTTGCATTAAATACATAATTTGAAGTGTAAACTTAGTGTTTGCCTTAAATATTGTTTAGGGGCCACTTGGTTCAAATTTGTCAAGGTCACAGTGGTAATGGGAGTGGTTATATATAGTAACTTCTAAATTATCTATGTACTTTCCTTTTCATCCATCCTAAAGTTATTGCCCATTTCATTTTAACAAACACAATATGTGCTTTACCTTGTTTCTCTCTCCCTGAGTACTCTTCCACCAACTTGTTGAAGAAACGTGTTAACCACTCCACGTATCTCTCTCTCAAACTCCTCCAAGCCTTGATCGGCATGCAATGTGGACCCAGCGTTTTCTTCTGCCTCATCTTTCTCATAGTCCTAGTTAGTTAAATACGGTACGGGAATTGTACGAGGTATAATATGTACATGTTTTATTCGGTAACATTAATGAAAAAACGGTCAAAAATTCATTGAAGAAAATGTTGACTTTTAAAAAACCTGTAAATACGTATACGTGTATAACACGGTATCAGTTACAAAAATTCGTACAAAAATACGGGGTATTATTTTGGACATTTAAATTATATACGGAGTACTTCACAGAATAACATATATAGTAAAAAGAAATAAAAGTATAGACATATCCAAGTAGCAAATTCTATTACTAATTAAAAGAAAAATTTGTAATTGCATAAGTCGATGACAAAAATATAAATAGATTTTAAGACCAAGACATGATTTTGCAAAATAATGTCAAAAATAAGACATAATAACAATAAAATGAGACTAAGTTTAAATCATTATCTTTATATGATCATCCAATAACACTCAATTTAAACTCATCATTTTCATCAAAATGACGGATGACATATGAGAAAAGTTGTACAACTGCTAAGCTTATTATTGTTTATGTGTAAAAGTTTATATTAAAAAATGTCAGGTTTAGAAAAACATTAATTTTGATATGCTTGTTTGAAAATGTGAAAGAATTATTGTATATAAGAATATGCTTTAGGAATATACTCTAGACATTATTATAGTATAGCATCTTATGTAGGAATATTCCTTCTTTGTAACCTATATATAGGGTCTTAACCCTCTTATATTAAACACACAAAATTCTTCCATTCTCATTACTACTATATGCTTAATTCTGATAACATGGTATCAGAGACATTAGGAAAGATTTAGTTCCTTTTTCTTTTAAATTTCAGCTTAGTTTTTCAGACTGGGTTCTTTCTCAAAGAAACCTGATTTCAGCTCAGACTCTCCAGAACCTCTAGGCACCATTCTGTCTCCCAGAAACTCACTCCAGGACAGATTTTTTTTTAGCCCCCCTCTATTCAGAACCTTTGTGCAGACCATATCCCCCATCTGTGCCAGGTGCTCGCAGTCTGCAGTTCCAAATCAGCACCCAAGTCAGACGTGCCTCTGGATTTTTATTCCAGCCCAAAACGGGCTGCTGTAAGTTTTCATTAAATTAAATATCTCAATTTTGAATTTTATTACAGTTTAAAAAAAAAAAAAAGAAAAAAAAACAAAAAAAAAAAATGCCTGGTTCTGACACCTCCACTGTAACACAAAGTCAGCCTTTGATAGTTTCTGAAGTTATTCCCATTAATTTTAAAATTACTGAGAATAAACTTTGTGGCTCTAATTATCTTGAATGGAGTAAAACTATCAAACGCTATTTAAGGAGCATTGATAAATATACTCACTTAGTTGATGACCCGCCAAAGGAGGAGGTTGATAGAGTTGCTAATACTGCCTGGCTTCGTGACGATTCTAGATTATTTATCCAAATTCAAAACTCAATGGAGAATGAGGTAATGGGGTATGTTAGTCATTGCGATACTGTGACAGAATTGTTTGATTATTTGGAATTTATGTACTCTGGAAAAGGTAATCTTAACCACATCTATGAGGTGTGCAAAGCCTTTTACAGAGCGGAAATGAAAGATAAGCCTCTCACGGCTTATTTTATGGATTTCAAGAAAACCTATGAAGAGCTGAATACATTAATGCCATTTAGTCCTGATATCAAAGTGCAGCAAAAACAAAGAGAACAAATGGCAGTGATGAGTTTTTTGGCTGGTCTAACATCTGAATTTGAAACAGCCAAATCACATATCTTATCTAGTGATGAGGTCTCTTCTCTTCAAGAATCTTTCACTAGAGTGCTTCGCACCGATACTTCATCCACGCCAGTAGCACCTCAGACAAACAGTGCATTTGTAGGGCAAGTTCCAACGTTTACCCAAGGAGGTGAGAAATGGCCACGTACTGGTCCATCTGGCAAAGGCATAGTATGCAACTACTGTAAGAAGCCTGGACACTTGATCAAAGATTGTAGAAAATTAAAATTCAAAAATCAAGGAAATCAAGTTGCTCACATTGCTTCCGCTACAAAGTCTTCTGATGGATCAATCAGTATGTCTTCTGAGGAATACGCCAAATTTCTTTGCTACCAAGAGACTCTAAAGCATTCATCTACTCCTATCTCAGCTGTCGCTAATTCAGGTAATCCAAACACATGTCTTGTTTCTTCATCCTCAAAATGGGTCATCGACTCAGGAGCAACCGATCATATGACAGGTAATCCTAATCTTTTTTCTTCATTCCACACACCTCTTCATACTTCTACTGTCACTTTAGCTGATGGGTCTACCTCCCCAGTCTTAGGATCGGGAACAATTGTCCCAACATCCACCTTACCTTTGTCACCTGTCCTAAGTCTTCCAAACTTTGCTTTTAATTTGATTTCGATCAGTAAAATCACGCGTAAACTAAACTGTTCTGTAACCTTTTTTCCTGGATATTGTGTATTTCAGGATCTGTTGACGAATCAGATTATTGGTAAAGGATATGAGTCGGCTGGTCTCTATCTTTTGGACACATCCTTACCTAAAACCATCTCCTGTCTTGGGGTTGGATCTGTGTTAGAGGCTCACTATCGACTAGGACATCCATCTCTCCCTTTGTTGAAGAAAATTCATCCTCAATTTAATAAGGTGTCGTCTTTACAGTGTGATTCGTGTCAATTTGCAAAACATCATCGTACTAGTTTAGGCCCTCGAGTCAATAAACGAGCACATGCTCCTTTTGAACTTGTTCATTCTGATGTTTGGGGAGCTTGCCCCGTTGTGTCTAAAATTGGCTTTAAATATTTTGTTACCTTTGTTGATGATTACTCTCGTATGACTTGGATTTACTTTATGAAACGGCGTTCTGAGTTGTTTTCTCATTTTTGTGCCTTTTGTGCTGAAATAAAAACTCAATTTAATGTTCCTGTTCGTGTTTTAAGAGGAGACAATGCTCAAGAGTATTTGTCTGCCTCGTTTAAGTTGTATATGGCTCAACATGGCATAATTCATCAAACTTCATGTGTAGACACGCCTCCTCAAAATGGTGTGGCTGAACGAAAGAACAGACATCTTTTAGAAACTGCGCGTGCGCTTCTTTTCCAAATGAATGTGCCTAAACATTTTTGGGCGGATGCTGTGTCTACCGCATGTTTTTTGATCAATCGAATGCCATCTACTGTTTTGGACGGTAAAACTCCGTATCAGTGCCTATTTCCAAATAATGAACTTTTTCCTATACCGCCTAAAATATTTGGTTGCACTTGTTTTGTTCGCAATGTTAATCCTCATTTAACAAAGTTAGATCCCAAGTCATTAAAGTGCATTTTCTTAGGTTATTCTCGAGTTCAAAAGGGGTACAGATGTTTTTGTCCAAGTACAGGTCGATATATTGTTCCGATTGATGTCTCATTTTATGAGAATACACCTTATTCATCTCCAGAGGCAGATATTTGTAGGGAGAATGATGATATACTCATTTACACAGTCACCATACCTGAGTCCACTGCTTCGAAAATTACTCCACATCCTACTGTTTCCGACCCCAGGCCTCCAATACAATTGGTATACACACGTCGACACAAAGCACCAGATCTTCCCCCGCCTGTGATTCCTTATCCTGATATTGATCCGATCTCGACCTCATGTCCTGAACCAATAACTGCATCTCCAGATCCTGTCTGTACATTAGATCTTGACCTCCCGATAGCACTGCGCAAAGGTACACGATCTTGTACTCATCCTATTTCTTCTTTTGTGTCGTACAGTCAGTTATCATCTACCTCATGCTCTTTTATTGCCTCCATTGATTCTATTTCTATTCCCAAATCTGTTAAAGAAGCTTTGGCTCATCCGGAATGGCGTCTTGCCATGATAGAAGAAATGAATGCTTTGGATCTTAATGGTACATGGGATTTGGTATACTTGCCTACAGGGAAGAAATCTATTGGATGTAAGTGGGTCTTTGCTGTGAAGGTCAATCCAGATGGATCTATTGCTCGGTTGAAAGCTCGATTAGTTGCGAAGGGTTATGCTCAAACCTACGGTGTAGATTATTCTGACACTTTTTCTCCTGTTGCTAAATTAACATCTGTCAGGTTACTTATTTCACTCGCAGCAACTCATGGTTGGCACTTGCATCAGTTAGACATTAAAAATGCATTCTTGCATGGTGACCTTCAGGAGGAAGTTTATATCGAGCAACCTCCAGGGTTTGTTGCTCAGGGGGAGTATGGGAAAGTTTGTCGACTTCGCAAGTCTCTTTATGGTTTGAAACAAAGTCCGCGTGCATGGTTTGGGAAATTCAGTCAAACAATTGAACAGTTTGGAATGAAAAAAGGACAATCAGATCACTCTGTCTTTTACAGACAAACGCAAGCAGGTATCACATTGCTTGTGGTGTATGTTGATGATATTGTGATTACAGGGAGTGATAATGCAGGTATCTTGGCCCTAAAGAATTTTCTGCACAGCCAATTCCAGACGAAAGATCTTGGCTCATTGAAATATTTTTTGGGAATTGAGGTAACACGAAGTAAGAAAGGCATATTTCTATCTCAACGAAAATATGTACTTGACTTACTAGCTGAGACCGGGAAATTAGGGGCAAAACCAAGTACAACACCCATGGTTCCCAACGTTCAACTCACTCAAGAAGGCACACCGTTTGAAGACCCGGAAAGATATAGAAGACTGGTTGGAAAGCTTAATTATCTCGCAGTCACTCGCCCAGATATTGCGTATTCTGTGAGTGTAATGAGTCAATACATGTCATCCCCAACCATTGATCATTGGGCTGCTGTAGAACACATATTATGTTACTTAAAGGGTGCACCAGGACGAGGTATTGTTTATCAAAACCATGATCACATGAGAATAGAGTGTTTTGCAGATGCTGATTGGGCCGGTTCTAAAGATGATCGAAGATCTACATCTGGTTATTGCGTCTTTGTTGGTGGTAATCTTGTATCTTGGAAGAGTAAGAAACAGAATGTGGTTTCTCGTTCGAGTGCTGAATCAGAATATCGAGCTATGGCACAATCTGCATGTGAGATCATATGGATAAGCCATTTATTGACTGAACTCGGATTGAAGACATCAATGCCTGCTAAATTGTGGTGTGATAACCAAGCTGCTATACACATAGCAAACAATCCCGTATTTCACGAGAGAACAAAGCATATTGAAGTTGATTGTCATTTTATTCGAGAGAAGATACAAAAAGGATTGATCTCTACCGAATATGTGAAGACTGGAGAACAACTTGGAGATTTATTCACCAAAGCTCTAAATGGGATTCGTGTTGATTACTTATGTAACAAGTTGGGCATGATAAATATCTATGCTCCAACTTGAGGGGGAGTGTGAAAGAATTATTGTATATAAGAATATGCTTTAGGAATATACTCTAGACATTATTATAGTATAGCATCTTATGTAGGAATATTCCTTCTTTGTAACCTATATATAGGGTCTTAACCCTCTTATATTAAACACACAAAATTCTTCCATTCTCATTACTACTATATGCTTAATTCTGATAACAGAAAAAATCAGAAATCTAGTAGTATTTTAAGTGTTAGTCTTTTAGGATGAGCTTTAGTTGCCATGCAATTAGTTTTAATATTTAATAATTGTACAGTAACAATATAAAAACACGGGGTCACGGGGAGGAGGGTTTCCGTTTTGCTTTTAAACTATTGTGTTAGGTACATGGTAAAACCGGTAGTATATTGACGGTAATCTGAGTTTTACAGGTGCGGAAGTAAAAGAAAGAGAAAAAACAGATCGAGACACTTCGAGCAGTCCCCTCTCCCAATGAGACACTTCGAGCAGTCCCCTCTCCCAAGTCTATCCAATTTCTGCCTACCCTCACCCTATTCTATTCTTCTATTTATTCTTTTCCAAATGAGGCTTCACTCAATCTATCTAATTACTTGGCCCAGCCCACTATTACATTTTATTAAAATATTAAGCCCAAAAGTCCATGTCTCTATCATCACTCCCCCCTTTGACAACCACCTTGTCCTCAAGGTGGGGAGTAACTGAGTAAGAAACAGCCAGGCTTTATCCTTGCTCCTCTGCCTTCCCAGTACTTGAGCTCAGCTAGTTTTCTTCGTTTTGGTATCCACTCAATCTCTTTGTCAACAGTGTGATCCTTTTGGCCAAGGTTATTATCTCTTTCCCTGCCCCATGTCTGATCTCTTACAGAATCTCCAATTGAGAATGCAAAGCCTGCTTCAGGAATGTAAGTCTCAGTCTTCACATCTTTCACCTTTGGAATTTCACTCCATCCCAGTAAATCTTGCATCTCCCTTTGAGCCTCATCACTGTGGACGATTATCCCTTCAGGCTGCTTGTGTGGTTGTGTCAGCATTTGTCCACTATAAAGTAAAATTTGGGAAACCAAAAGCTGGATGTAATCAGGAGCAGTTTTGATTGCCTCTAAAGCTGTTAAAGTAGAAAGGCTGGCAGGAGGGTCTGCCCTGACTGCAGCCTGTAGTATCCCAAGCACTTGATGCATAGTTTCATGAGATGTATGCTCAGATAAGTTGGTGATTGATGCAATTAAGTCCTTGATATGTGGCCCAGTGACTCCCGAGTTTGCAACAGTTAAAAGCTGTGAAAGTGCTCGACAAAAATCTGGCATAACTTCTTCATCCTGCATATGGATCAATTGCTGAACAACTGGCAATGTAGCTTTGACCGGGTCAATTGGTGAGGGTGGCTGGCCAACCTGGCTGTAACAGAAGCTTAGCAAAGTCCCTGTAGCCTTTCTCAACATAGAATTCTTTGCAGGCACATTTAACTGACCTAGCAATGATACGAGTGAACCATGACAAATAACCAGGTCCCTACATGTTGGAGCATCACTCGCAGAACCAAATAATGATGTAGAGGATGCAAGAGCTGCATGCCGTGCTTCAGCACGAACC